CCCTACTACTATACAATTAAACACCACTTTCAACAGTAGGTGTAGTTTGTATTGATTATTATTATAACTATTATTATTATAACTTATAAATATAAATATTATTATAACTTATTAACGGGGGAGCGGGAGGAGCTGGCTAGTGTCATTAAAAATAAATGTTATGAATACATGTATTATAAATAAATAAATAAAAGTTAAATGATAAATTAAGTTTCTTTTTATATTCCACTCCGCAATTAATACAAACGATTGACAATTTATCGGAAATTTCCAGTGGGAAAATTTTCACTAAAACTTTCCGTTACGTAATATTTCGATAGGAAAATTCCATAACAACCTCAATGTTACGTAATATTACGTGATGGAATTTTCCATTCCTATTTTCTGAATTTATAAATTTTTAAATGGAAATTTCCATTACGTAATGGAAAATACCCTTGTGTAATACAGTATTACGTAATTTAGTATGGTGGAATTTTCCATTAAAAATTACACAACAGAAAGTTTCTTCTGGAAATTTCCTATAAATGTTATTTTATTTGCAAAATTTCCATTAATAAGTTTTAAGTAAATTATTTTTCATTGAGTGAGCTATGCCAATTTTTGAGTAAAAATTATTGTATAATTTATTTATTACAATCAATACATTATGTTTCATTATTTTTATACATAGTTTTCATTTGTTAGTAAAACATAATTAATTATATTTTATATAATTACAAACATTGTTATATTTATTTATAATTTAGATTTTTTAACATGGTTGTTTTTAAAAAATGGCATTCAGTTATATCAACAATAGTAATATTGTAACAATCGTCCGATGAATTCATTTATTACGTGCAAAATTATACCTGAAATTCACAAAATTAATTATAATTTTAATTATCAACCAATATCAATCAATTTAAAACAAACACATAAGTGATCAATACAATAAAGTAAACTATCAAAGTAAATTTAATTAATTTTACATTAAAACACCTGGTAAATAATTGTATTTGTCACTAAAGTAAGTATTTGTTTTAAATCACTTATAAAATAACTTACATTTTTTTATAAATCTCACGTATGGCTGTACTCATGGGTTATATCGGGCTCTTCGCGGTCAATACCGATCGAGTCGTACCGGAGCTCCGGTACCCTCGGGTTTGTCACGTAACGGCACGACACGCAACACTTCTATTGGGCAATAAAAACATGTCATTTTTACCTTAATTAATTTGATTTAATAATACGCTAATAACACCCTTACCTGCGGACACTTTACGCGACCCATTGTGGCCGCTGTTGTTGAGCCTATTGTATGACTATTTGGCGATTTATTATACTTTAAGATGCCTTTAGTATTGGTTGAGGTGTTTGTGGTGAGCGATTGTGGCGGACAGACAGCGCACGTGACAATTGCCGTAGTGGTGCCGGTATCGGCGCACCGGTGGTCAACGCAGTGCTCAATCATTGTCTGATCCATTAGCAGCTCGTCATCGGCGGTGCAGATGCTATGGTTGCCCCGTATGGGCGACAGAGATAATGGAGGGCTCCGGGAGTTTGTCCGCAATGTGCCCGAAGTGGTGGACGACAGTACGAGGCCGTTGTCCGGCGGCGACGGACACTATATGCGAGTGGAAAAAATAATTGTCGTTAATTTTGGTTAAACACTATTTAATTATAAACTACTATTCAATATAATTATCAGATAAAAATGTTTTGGTATAGAATTTTAGTGTCACTTAATTATTAAGCCATTAGTTTATGGGACTCAAGAATATTCTGTATCTCTTCATAATATACTTCTCTCTCTCTCTCTCTCTCTCTCTAACTCTCTAACTCTGACATAAAATTTAATAAT